TTTGAAACACTGCAGTGTATTGAGTTCTTCAAAATATGAGGCCAAATTTGCCTTCCTGTGGAATGAAAACGTACTGTGGATGCACTGTGTATACAGTGTTGTGGATCATGTAACATCTCCTAAGCTTTAATTTGAGAAATGCCACCTTGCACATATTCCCCAGAGGTGAGAGAGGAACAGAGTTCATCAAATCCCAACTGCTTTGGTGGCTTGGCTTGCAACAGGTTTCCCCCCTCCATCACTGCCTGCAGCAAGAAAGGCTCTGCTTGCAAGGCAGTCTGACCTCTGAATTTGAAGCATCCTGTTCACAAGGTCCTCATGAGGTCTTACATGCCTGAGTGCTGGACTGTGGCTTCCTTGGCTTCTTCATGTTCCCAAATCCTTTTTCTTTCTGGCACATCTGAAAGTCGTTCCTTAGATACTGTTCTTCCTTTTCCACAGGAAACAAGCCAGTTGCCGTGTCAGCATCTTGGCCAGGAATCAAAGAGAACAAGCTACTTGTCAGACAACACCGGAGGCATAGGCAATTAGGATAGGGATGATATTTCAGCAAGAGTAACCCTTTCTGGCTCTAAGGAAAAGTTTGGTGTAATTCGGGGGGGGGGGGGGGGGGGAACAAAGAAATAACTTTTTTTTTTTCTATGGCACAGGTTCAATAACACAGCAGCTACTTTCTCCACCCTGTGCTTCTCAGTTGAGGCAGGAGCAAGGGTATTTTATTAGCTGTGTATTTTAGTTGCCTCATGCATTTACAACACCTGTACCAAATAAAAAGGAAGAATAAACCATGGCCCCTTTACTCCCCACCTTCGCTGATTCTCCTGCTGGATGTGAACCAGCCCACTGGCTGCTAGTCCATTGCTGCTGGAATCCTGGAGACCGTGGATCTTCTCAATAGGCAGTTAGCAGCTTTGCTGCTAGCATTTGCCATTTTCTATGGCATTGTACTTGGCTGCCTTTCTTTCCATGTACTGGATCTTTTTGCTTTTTTAATCTCTGCACAGTTACTGACTAGAATTTGTCATGATTTCACCTACTTTTTTTTTCAGTGTCACAGAAAACTTAACACCACACATATCTTGCCTTCAGTGGGGCCCCGATCACAGCCTTAAGTCTTATCTATATTGATATATCACTGGAGTACATGTGAAAGAGCTGTTTGCACCTCTGTGTGTAGCAGTGAGGCCCTCAGGCAGGATTCTCTTTGTGCTGTCTCTCTTACGGTACTTTTTAATCCTCCTCTCACATTTGTCTGCTTTGTAGCCCTTGCTGCACCCCCTTTTTCTTTCTTTTTATTTTTTTTCTGTTGGTCGTACTCAGTTCCCATGTCTTGTCTCAGAGAGCACTCTGTGTCTCTCAGCCTCTGTTCATATACAGTAATCTCAGTAATGAATCTTCTGGGCGCAACTGGTAAAAAATGATGAGAAAAGAAGAAGGACAAATAGGTATCATCCCCACCCAAGAAGCGGGGCTTTCATTATATGGGCATGTTATGCCTGATAGGAGCATGTCATCCCTTGTCCCCACAGTCATTATATTTGGATGAGCCCTGAGTAGCACAAGAGTAATACTGTGTATCAAATGCCTTTTTTATTCGCAGGCTACCTCAGGGTCTTAGCTCTTGAAGGTAAATCAACAACAAACACAGGAATGTAAAATGCGAGGAGTAATAAACAGACACTTTAAAAATTGTCTTTATTTTCATTTTCAGGTTCAAGGTCAACCTTCAATAATTTGCAGATAAAATTAGAGTACAAAAATGCTCCTGTTAGTCTAGTTTGAATTTAGGTAGGTTATTAAATACTTCCAAAGAAAACTAAGCTTGCTTTTTCAAACACCATTTCTGTGCACAGGTTATTTAGCTCATTCTTTTCATAAAGCAGGTAAACCAGATTTCAGTTGAAACATTAAAACATTTTACACTTGGGTGTCAGAATTAAAACCACGGGTAAAAGGTTCTCAGAAAACCATGCCTGAACTGCAGAACGGAAGTATGCACTAAAGACATTACAATGTACACATGCAGAGACATGCACCTGTGAATATGTATGTATATGAACATACCAGGAAGATCAAAAATACCTGTTTTCTGGTTTGTATGCAATCTCAGTCATTCGGCTAACAACAATGCATGTTTAACCCAATATTCATATATTGCTTACACAATAATTATACTTCCCTATATTTTCAGTATCATTGCTGTCACACAGTAAAATTGTGTGCCTTCCAGTCAATGTCCTGCAGAAATGGCAAAATGATGAAATACATTAAGGAAGTATAAGGGGCAAAATGAAGGAAAACTAAAAGAGAAAATTGCACTGAGTCTTGAGAAGATAAATTTGCTTAACATTGTCTATTGGTAACTGTAAATTCTCTTCTTTAGCTAATGTCCACTTTCTTTTGAGTGATTATATTTCTCACATAGTGGAAGAAAATGTATTTTGCATGTGTATACACATCAGAGGAAAATCCTATCTATATGTTGGGTCGAATTATGGAAACATGATAAAATAAGTTTGTTTCTGATTAAAACCTAAACCCAGGTAAATGACAAAAGCTCACCAGATGCTAGCAAATCACTCCAGCAGAAAGCATGCTGTTTCAGTGTAGCTGTAGAAATCCTCATGTGCAACCAAGGGACATTGAACAAATTAAGTGGTATAATCTTTTGGGGAAAATTACATTTCAAAAATCCTGTCATATAAAAAGACAGAGATGTCTGCAAGTCCTTTATCTAAAAGTCTATGTCTTGTGGTTATTTCCTGTATTTAAGCTGCTTATGTTTAAAAGATGTTACTCGAAGAACAGACCTTGTAAATAGGACTTTTCACTCTTAGGAAGGCCACCTGGCGTGAAAATATCCAGATGAACATTTGAGCTTGCTTCTTCCACTAAAACCAGTACAGGGGTCTGTTTTCAGGACTTTAAATTGTCTTAAGCAGTATGGACTACATTCTGTCACCCTTAATTACACAGTGGTATATTATTTTATAAACAAATTGGCTGTTTCTACTAGTGTTTGGCTCTAGCAGACGGAAAGTAAAGACAACATGAATATAACCTTATCTATGTATAAAGGCAGGATCCACACCTCCACAACATGCTCTTAGTTTTGTTAAGGTCACTTGAAGGTTACACATCAAGAACTAAGAAGCCATCTAAGAGAAAATGTAATTTCTTTTCAATTACCACCTAATGAACAAGAACAGCAATGTGTCACATGAGAAGAGTGCATGAAGTTGCTTGTCATTGGACATGGTTTGTACCAAAGAAGTTGGATCCAGCCTTTGAATGCCCTAAAGCTGGGTTTCAGGATATAGACAGGTTTAGGGGATCTTGAAGTATCTCAGGAAAAGTTATCATGAACAGAGGGACAAGTCATACAGGGAAGTCAGTCTTCACCACTCTACAGTCGCCACCCTGCAGGGGAATGTGGTCGACATAAGCAAGGTCTGCAGCATTGCCCAGATAATTGTGTACCAAGGCCATCTCCTGCTAACCATCCTGTCTCATCTCGTTCTCTGGATACAAGACTCAAAAACTCCCTGTCTGCTGACTGCTGACATACAGCTAGGGCTGTTTCACGTACCAATGTGCTATGCAGCATTGCAGGCTTGCTTCTGTTGTGTGACCTAAGACATCGGATGCATCTGGTCAGCACAATGTTACAAAATTTCTTATCTAATAAATAATCATCTCACCATCAGGACGTTTTTGTTTTTGCATCCAGATGCCCTAAATGTGGTATCCACCCAAGACAACTATCTGTGGAACAGCTTTTTACACAATGAACCTTCCCTTCTGCCTTCCTTCAAAATCCCTTCTACTCTTTCATATACCAGCATCATCAACCACTTTATGTAGCTTTCCTGTATCATACAGGTTTACACTGCACTCTCTCTGCCAGTAAATCCTTTGAAACACAAACGGGTTACAAGTCTGGCACAGATCTGAAACAGTTCATCTTCTGTTATATGCAAATGATGCAGGATCCTGACCATGTGCTTTCAATTAGGTCAGCACCCGGCCACCAGCAATGGCTAGCCATTTCTAAATTAATACTGCTGAGCTGCTACAGCCACTGCTTATTGCTAGAGTGAGTCAGGCCTCTTCCTGTCCTATAATGTTGTTAGCAAGTTGGCAGAAAGCCACAAGTTGGAAGGACGTGTGCAGACTGCCATGGTCTTACCCATAGAGCACTATTTTCAAACATGTTTAGATCTTCAGTGGAAACTTACAGCACCAGATCTCTTACCAGGTAACACACTCACCTGCAGAAAGCTTACCCTAAATTTTTGCTCCTTTTTAAGACCTCTAAAAATAAATATTTCTCAGCCTATGCCATTGTATGCAGAAATCTCACTCTGACTCTAGATTTCAATTTGATTTTTGTTGGAATAATTAATAATCGATTCCCTCTTGCATAGACATGTTGTACTCCAAGGAAAGTATTAAATACTCACACACCTAGCAGAAAGTTATTGAAATGATCCTAATAGGGAACAAATTAGGATTCAGGCCCACATTTCTATTTATGCTTATTTACCTAGTGTGTAAAAAGGACTTTTTACAGCTCATACATGGATTTTCTTCCCAGTGCCACCTGTCTTTTACGAACAGCTTCTGAATAGTGATTTTAAATGGCTGTCTAATGATAACCGTATGTCTAATGGGGGAGGCAAATAAATTTAACTCTTCATAAACATACAGACTCACGGAGAATATGTATTATTACTTCTATATTGAGAAGCAGTAAATTGAATTAATTCCTGGTCTTTGCTACACTGAACATTGGTACTCCTTTTAGCTGTGTATTTATGATCAACATGAAGTACTATGATACAGGTAAGTGCACAGCAAATCCACTATGTCTGATCAAGTTAATTTTTGGAGCTGTCATTGCGATATGAATGATACCGGGTTTAAGACCTAAATCCTGTTAATACAGAAAATAAATTAAGTAATTAAAGGATAAGTAATATATAAAAAGGTTTTTATATGACTTCGCTATATATAATGAATATATAGTTTAAAGGAGATTTAGTAGGAATGGCCTTTGTGTCAGTTTCTGGGTTTGAGTTTTATGATAGTGAGCAGTTTTAATGAATTTCGTGGGTTTACCTTTTCCAACTAAAAATGCAGATTAATTTCTTCATTTCCTGGCTTAAATTGCAATGAACTGTACCTCTCATCCTCCAGCCTCATCCTAATAGTAATGCAGAACAGGATGTACAAGGAAATAACACAAGACTTAGTAAAAACCAAATGACACAAATTTTGGCACATGTCTGCGCAGTGCCACTGCTTTAGGGAAATGACATCCAAATATCCTACAGTGTCTGCAGCTAGCTTCTACACGACATGCTTCTAAAGGTGCTCAGCAGTAGCAGCATCCTGCTGCATTCAACCTGGAACAGCTGGAGATCTTCATATCTTCATTGACTGATGACATTTAAATTGCAGTGAAGCCCTGTTAGGTCCATCCTCGCCTGTGCTTTTCCTCATTAATTGACACAATTCTTTGTTTTCCTTCTGTCACTTTGTCTGATGTTTTTTGTAACATTAATGGTGACTTCTTTTGTGGCCATTTTCTGTGTGTCCCATTTACTCTGAAAGTTTTAAAGAGTACAATGAGTTCCACTGACAGCACAAAGAGTCACTGATGATTACCTCCTAATTTATGAGAACAGTTCTACTTAATCAACAGAATGCCTCCAGCTTTCTTTACACAGTATTGTGATGCAGAGCAACTTTCTCATTCAGCATGGATGCAAGCTTTTAGAACTGCTATAAAGGCTGCAGATGTCAGTAAGCTTTGGATCAACCCTCTTGGCTATAATCATCATCTCTGCACATGCATATTATAAAAGCAAATAAATCTGGTTTTAGTCTAGAAGTGGAAACTCAAGGTTCCTTTTGATGTCATTGGGAGTTGAGTGTGACTAGCCTTCTCTACTTTAAGTTTCTTAACTGTAAAGATAATTTCAAAATAACACTTAGTTCAGCCTGCAAGACCCACTTAGAGTATATACCTTTCAGAGCTTCATCAGATTATTTCCAAATATTCAAAATAGTCTGTCTGCTTGTTGCCATAAACAACACACTGTACTGGGCACTAAAGGGCATAGGTTTAGCAAAGGTCACTCAGAACCGGGCTGATGGAGACACAGACCTAATTTAGGTGGGTTTGATGATTGCACTTTCAGTGTTTCATATGGCAAGTTGTAAGTGTAAAGAATGCCAGGTAAATTAGCCATCATTTACATGGTAACAATGCCAGGTGAAATAATGTCTGGTAAACTTCCACTGACATAAGTGGAAGGTACATGTTTATCCCAGAGCAAAACTTGGTGTTTTTTTTGCTGCTGTGCATTACTTTACGTTTCTGCAGCCTGAATACACCTGCTCCTTTTCTGTCTGCTCCCCCAGTGCTCCTGTCCACACAAGGACTCTCCAAAGACTAGACAAGTCATGAAAATCAAATCAGGTTGTTGTCAATCAGTGACATAATCTGGATACCACCTTTGCTTTTGGGATGCCTGACCATTCTATTGCCTTCATTGGTATTAGGAACCCTTCAGCAGCATCATTTACTTCCAAGTTGTTTTGAAATTACCCTTACGAGAGGATACTAGTTTCCCAGATGCAGCCTGTATCAAACCCTTTCTCTTTCCATACCACAGATTGTACCTTGTCAAATAGCTGATGCTCGGGTGAAGGCAATAGGACACTTTAGAGCTTGATGCCCAAGAAAATGAGAAACAGAGAGGTAAAGCAATTTCCTCCCTACTACCCCACAGGCTGATGGCAGAATCCAAGTCTCCTGAAAGCATCATGTGCTGCACTGCATTGTATTCTACAGCATGAAGAGATAAAAGAAAAACTGTTGTCAGTGTGAATGTTCAGATGAATAAAATAGGCACATTTTGAGTTAGGAGGATAGTCACTCAACTCCAGGCTCCCAAACTTTAAATGTCCAAATTGGAAACCTGATCATCTTAAGCTTCCCTGAAAAGTCAGTGGAGAAACAGCGATTCAGAATGGCAAACCAGAGCTGGAGCCTGACTTAGATACTACATTTTCACTGTATGAAAATACATTTTTTTTTTTACTATAAGAACTTTAGGCAGCTTAGCTTCCTTTCTTAAACATCTGCACTAGATGCATAGAATAATGCAAATGCTCTACTTATCAGAAATTTTCTTTCCACTAGGTTGCAGCAGTACAGATATGTTACTGAATCTATCTTAGCTAGAAAAAGGCAGGAGGATACATTCAAAGCCATAGGTCTCTCAGTCAGGCACCTACACTTCATTGAAATGTCAGAGGGATACATGTCACTGAGGAATATTTCTGTATTACAGCGGTGCAGAAGATAATAGAGTGGAGGTATAAAATAGATATGTACCAATGTGTTATGTGTTAGCAAATGCAAGGTAAAGTGAAATCCAAATTCTCTTTTTCATTTACTCTGTCCCCCTGCATCTAAATTTGCCTCTGTCAATGATGTAATTCCCTAGAGGAGACAGCTTCCTATGGGATGGATGTAACAGTTCCACCACATGCTGTGCTGGGTGGTATTCCCATCTGAGAAACCAAGGAAGCAGTAAACCAACTGTAGTTTTTGGATTACTTTAATCTGCAACAGCTCAGCAGCTGCGAAACAAACAGGGCAGCAGGTGTAAATGTGTGAGAGACAAGCAGGTAGGCAGCTAGGATAGATTTTTGGGCTTTGGTCTAGCCCAAAGCCTTGTGTGTTCATACATTATTGTTACACTGGGTGATCCTTCTACAAGACATAGAACACACAGGTGAGGGGGACAAGGGAGGAGGGTCTGATCCAAAGCCTGCTGAAGTTGTGGTAAAGACTGCCACTGACCTTTTCAGGCTTCACATCCAGCTCTAGATGAACCAGGAAGGGTTCACGTAGTGCACATAATATAAGCAAAACAGCACTTAAGGAAAAACCCATTCTCTTTCAGGTAGTCTAAACAGTTTGCACAATACATGCCACAGCTGGACTGAGCTGGAAATATATGTGTGGGGTTTTTTCACTGTAACAGATGTGTGTATTACTTCATTTGCCAAATAAAACATCAATTTTGTGGCTACTCAGGGATGAGGTGTTGTCAGAGGTGCTAGGCTCTGTCATGCTGTGGTTATGGTGCAGCCATTTTTTCTTATCCCAAGGCATTAAATACAGTTTGACTGCAGCAAGGAAGATTGTAATGAAGATAAGTTTGACCTGGTTGAAGCTACTGCTGAGTGTCAAAGATCATAATGATACTCTTACCTCTGCTGTCTTGAAGCCGTTCTGTCTCTGCGTTGTAGCTCCCGTACCATGGACCACAGAGTTCACACACTGAGAACCACAATTGTTCCTCTTCTCGGTGTTCAGGGTTCCAGCTGTGGCTGATGCTGCAGTTACAGCTGTCTGTGCTGATTTCCCATCCTCCAGAAGACCTAGTAGGTATACAGGAAATTGTGCTATCAACACAGACGAGCAGTTTGTAACTGGCTCTGGGTTTCCCCTGTTTCAGCACGTTTTTGTGATAGCACAAGTCATGGAACCTGTGGTATGGTACTGCAGTGAGAGCAGTTTACCTCCTTTGCTTAACTTCACCCTCACACTTTCCTTTATTTAGTTTTTCTCCTGTAGTCCACTGGCCTGAGTAACACTGGCTCAGAAAACATGCAAAACTGGTTAACGAGTGAAGCATATCAGCCTTTTTTTCACTTGCAGATCTCTTTTGGCTTCTTCACACACACAGCTGCTGGCATGACCAGGGTTTAACTAAGGACCCAGAGAGGCTCCCCTTTAACCTGTTTCTGTTCTGGGAAATTAAGAATTTAGATGTGAGCATGACAGATGAGACTAATATGGATGGACATACATACTGCTCTGTTCAGGGCCTTGAACATTTATTTTCATTAGAAGTTGAGGAAAGAAATTCAGAAATAATATATTTCATACAGTTTCAATTATCAGTAATCAAATAAATGAGTAATTTACTTTCTGCTCTAGCTGTGTGGATAGGGCATGCATTGCACAATATGATGTTGGCCAGCCTAAAACAATTTTCTAATCTTATTGCATTAACAAAAATCAGTTGTCATTTATGGTGGGTGCAGAGTACTAAACATCTGGTTGCAGTGCTGGGTCTGATATTCAAATACAAAGAGCAAGCAGGATGAATGACTGTAGCTGTCTTTTTTTTGTATTATTTATTTTTTCAAAGCTCATTTCTAACAAGCTTTATGTTCAAATAGAAAAAAGTCAGATTTACTAACTGGCAATGCAGGTATCAATACAGGAAGAAGCTAGGAGTCACAGGTACTAAGTGAAAAATAACTATGAGTAAAACCAAAGGCAACTCATTGCTACTTGCTCATTGCTACATTGTGTCATCATAACCTTCTGCCATGAAAGAGGTGGGAATTCAAGTGCAGTACTAAGAGGATTAAGAAGGAGGCAAAGTCCTGAATTATTTTCCATAAATCTGTAAGAAAGGCTGCTTTATCAGTAGAAAGCAACATCGGTAGCAGCTGAGAATGACTGAAATCGATAAAGCTTCAACCAAATATTCAAAGTCTTGATACAGAAATATCTAAAGTTGTGTAAGACTCAAGACAAACTAATCCCTGCATTTCCCTGAGCAGTCAGAAGATGGTGTTAGTTTCCAAAGACAGTTTAACTTGTTGTGGGAGTGACTAATAATGCTAAATCATCTACTTTTCGATAGAAAAGAGTTGAGTTGTAACTTCAAAATATTAAATTATAGTTCATATAAAAAAAAAAAATTGTCTCTGGAAACTGCCTTTTGTGCTAGACACAAAAACTAATGCTGTTCTCCCATTTAAATCTACCGGCAACTTCCCTGTTGACAAGAGTAAATCTCACCTCTCCTGCATCTCCCAGAAGTCACACCTACTTGTGTTTTGGCTCTTACTTCTTCCTAACACTCCACAGTGCCAGATGAGAGGCAGAAAAATTACTTGCTGCAGAACAGTAAGTGGTACAGATTGATATCATAGACAAAATCAGTTGTTAGGAAAGGAGATGGAGAGGCAATTAGCCATGTGTGAGTCAGAGCTCTAAGCTGGGAGTCACACTGTAGTAACAGGTTAAAACCTAAACAAGGGAAGTTTAGATTGGATATAAGGAAGAAGTTCTTTCCTGTTAGGGCGGTGAGGCACTGGAATGGGTTGCCCAAGGAAGCTGTGAATGCTCCATCCCTGGAAGTGTTCAAGGCCAGGTTGCACGGAGCCTTGGGTGACATGGCTTAGTGTGAGGTGTCCCTGCCCATGGCAGGGGGGCTGGAACTTGATCTTAAGGTCCTTTCTAACCCTAACTATTCTATGATTCTATGATTAAGAATGATTTGCTGATGATTGAGAGAAACAAACCAGGTTGTGAAATTTAGAGATAGCCCTTAATTATCAAGGCTACAGGAAACTTCTCAAACTATGGATAGCATAAAGCTAGGTCTGCCTGTATCTGTTTGCACAGACCTCATCAGAAGAGCAGCATCAGATGAAATGAAGATTTCTGTGACTAACAAAAATCAGCAATGCAGTGATAGCCAATGCTGTCAATAAATTTGGGAGGGGTACAAAGCCTCATAGTACAGAGGCAAAGTTAATCTTAGACAAAAGAATTAGGTCTTTGTGAAGAGAATTAATCCACATGTGCTTGCCACAGTATTCTCCTACCTGATTTTAAAGCAGCAGGTAGTGGCCAAAATTGGGCATGAATTCTGACCCAAATAAGCTATAGATCTGACCCTCAACTATGGACTCTGTGCTGTCACATTGAATAACAAGCATGTATATGTTTAAGGTGGGTAGCTGTTGATTAATATGCTAAACTAACATTGGAATTCACTACGAGCAAACCAGTGAGGTTCAATTTTCTTGTTCAGCAGCACCTTTTTTTATTCATTGTGGCTGTTATCACATGAATAATGCAGAAGATGTTTTAACAAATGCCTGCACAATAAGATACTGCACTGTAAAAATGGACTCTGAGATAACTCACAGTAAAGACGAATGGAAGCAACGTGCAGTTGCTTCCATAGGAAATCTGTATTTGTTACCATCACTGAGTTGCTTTTAATGCTACAGAGTGATAATAAGAACAGAGATCACTGAAATACCTGTTTTCATTATTTGAAAATGTTCATGTTTGGGAAAGCTACAAATTGCAGGCCTGAGTGCTGGTATGTACTTCTGCTACAGAAATAACACAGCATGGATCCCATCAAAAATTAATGGAGTGGAGATGGTGACAAAAGTGAAGTTTAAGTCATCTCCTCCAAAGCAGTAGCCTCAGGGATGAGTCCAGATGCTCAGGAAATCTGCAATAGCTTTTCTTTTCCCCTAACAAGAAAGCATTTAGAAACTTTCAGGCATAGCAAAGAGTGGGTTTGAAAGCCAGGACGGAGAAACCACAAGATCTATGGAGGGAGAAGGCAAGAAAATGTCATCAGAAACGATGTTTTGCATTTATTGAATCAGTAAGTATAATAACTCAATAAGCTGTCTAGACATTCAGAGAATCCAGAATGATTTATCCAAACTCTCGTGTGATATGAATTTTAGACAGTGAAGCAAAACAAGCTAAATGTATTTGCATCTCCTATGCATTGTGTATCAGCCATCAGAACTGTGGAGTCTCTCTTTAGAGGTGCCACAGAAATGATTCTGGCACAGGCTGGGGTGAAGGCAAGGGAGGACATCTGTCCTCCTTACATGAAATCCCCACCAGGCATGGCAGGTGACCCCACGAGCTGACTCCGGCCAGGCAGGGTTGAGCCATGTCCCAGCACACAGCAGGCATGGGGGAGTGGTGAGAGCTTTGTGTGCCTTCCTCGCAGCTTCCATGGTATGCTTGTTTGAACTCAGCTCGCCCTACACCACAAACAGCCTCTTCATCCTCTGTTTAGAAGGTATCTCTTTTACTTTCAGAGGTAAGAGAAGTAGGTGATAAATAAGAGGAAATTCTCTATTCATGAAAGACAGCAGGGATCAGATAATAGCTAATAGCAGAAGGCAAATCAGACTCTGAGATCCTGATCTGGCCACGGTTTTCTCACATTCAGGAGCCTTATGGAATTATGTTTTTCTGTAAGATTATGGTATTAAATATTTAATCCAGTACTAAAAGAACTGACTTACAACTAATATATTTAATGCTTTTAAATGAATATATGCACATTGGAGTCCTGGCAAAACTGAGAAACCAAGCACCACAGCTTGTGACAGTTTTGGCTGGCAGGTTTGCTTATTTTCCTATCTCCTAAATTCTTTTCTGAACTTAAACAGTCCTATAGATTTCTGTATTTCAAAACTTCTTTTACCCTTGCCATTTTGAAATAAGGCAAGAGGCTCCTTATGTCAGATAAAAGGATTTTCTAAAAAACTTTAAAACTGGAATTTAACAGAGATAAATAAGTGTACAGTAAATAGCTCTGAAAGTCTGATCAGATTTGTTACTGTAGTATGACAATTTCAACTAAGAGTATTCAAGGGTTCTAGCAGACAAGTAGACTATAAAACACGCAGCATTAAAGCTGAAAACCTTGATATTCCTTATACGGCTTATTTTCCCAAGTACAGGCAGATGCTAAATCTTTGCCTATTGGTATATGTTATTTCAAATTATGATACAGAATCATGGTACAAGTACCTTTAAACAGACTTAATAATGTTGCAACTGCATCTATGAAATGAAAGGTGAATATAAAATCTGTATTTATTCCAAACATTGCAACAATTGTAAACAATGTGTGATCATTCCAAAGCTCAAGACAAAGGATGCTATGTGGAAAGGAAAATAGACTTCAGAAGCAGAATAAGGGGGAATTGGTCTGACTATGGAGGGAAGGTAGAAAAGGTAAATTTGTAATGGTGGTGCTAGGGAAGCACTTAATGTCAGAAAGACAGCAGAATTTGGATAAAGAAAAATTTTAATAACCGGAACAGGAAAGAACCACCAAATTTTTGCTATATTGTGGAATAACAATTGGCTACATTTTGGAAGACAGTGAAGGCTGAGTATATTTTATTCCTTGGAAAATCATGAGATGGAATGGTTTAAGCAACTTACCAATGCCACATGACGTGCCAGAAACACATCACTCATCCCTCCAAAGTGAAAAAAATAACCTACAAATAGCAAACCTCTGAGGTGCTTTTCATAATACTGCATTTTAGGACAGGCAGTGCAGGGATCTGCTTTTGTACATGCAAAGATACAGGCTGTTTCAGTGCTACCCATGAAAAAATCACCTGAAAATGGTACTCTCCAAGCACAATACTTTATATCATGAGTGTCCAAACCAAGTCAAGGCAGCCTGTTTTCCAAAGGGGCTTGCTTTTGGCTCAGTTCCTGTTTGACCTTCTCCTTTAAAATACAAAGAAAGATGTTCCCATTACAGGAAAGCACTGTGTAAGGTGGAAAA